AAGTCAAATCAGTTAGTGGTTACTTTCACAAGTTTTGTCCCACCATTGCCCTGGCATATTTACAGGCTATACACCAGTTTAAATACAGGCTTTATGTCTGGCTTGGTGTTTATGTTTCTCTTTTCAGACTGTGAAGAGTCCTGTATCAAAAGCACTAGAAAATAGGGCTGAGGGCTCTATGTAGGCACCAACAAGACACTCATTTTTAATAAACTGAGTAGACATTATCTTCAACAATGAAGCCTTGCTGTCAGTTTGTGGAGAGTAACCTAATAGTTTTGGCAATGGCCTGCATTGTTTGGGGATTCCCATGAGACCCCATTTGGCTATCAACTCAGTTAGATGCATGGCATCAAATTTTTAAGTTATATATGTGGTAAATATCTGTTGCTGCATAACAAATTATTCAAGAATAGAATGTTTTATTGTCTCTCACGATTATATTTATTTTGTAAGTTTTCCAGTTTGTGGTATCCAGTTATAGTAACACAAACAGACTTAGACAGAAGCAACATATAGTATAACTGATAGTGATTCAGGAACCATATATGAAGAGCTAGTGGTTTACTGTTCCCTTTGCAGTATTTCCAAAACTAACATGATCTGTTTTCATGTACTGTCATTGTTTACATACACCTCTGCAATTCATGTTTCTGATGCAGTAATAGGTATACTTCTTATTCTCTTGGAGATGAGGCAAAGATGTGTTTGTTATCATAAGAAACTGGTAAAGCAGAAACTAGCAAGTGGGTTATAAAACTCAGAGTACTATACCAGAATAAAAGTGGCTTAACTGAGTCATTCCTTCTCAGCATCTCTTATGAAGCAACAGTGAATGGGCCAGCTCAATACGTAGTTATTTCATGATTTAATGGGAAAGGATTCACAAGCAGCCTTACTCACAGGACTGCTAAGAAGTTCTTTGCCATATGAACTTTTCCATAGGCCTATATTATGACATGGATTTCTCCAGAAAAAAATCAATCAAAATGAGAAAGAGAAAGATGGAAACCACAGTCTCCTCATGAGATATCATGGGAAGTGACATCCCTTTGCAATGTTTACTTTATTTACAAGCCAATAGAGGAGAAGGAAGAGTTTGGGTAGTGATGTGACTATGCAGGCAGCAGTCATTAACAACCTTCTTAGAGGCTATCATATTTAAAACACCCATGAAATTAACACAGTAGTCTCTGTGTTACTGACTATATCAATCAATCTTGTTTTGTGACAAAATTATAAAACATTTGCACTATAGTATTTTGAAGTATAATTGATAGGTAGAGTATTAATAATGACAAAAGTTTTATGGACAGAATAAGTATTTATTTATATTGTGATTTAATAGTAAAGCATGAGATAAACATTGAACAACAAGATTTCAACTCTCTAAAGTATATTTCTCCATGAATTAGCATTCTGTGGAATTTTGGCTCTTGTTTTAATATCATTTTTGCATCAGTATGACCAATACCCACTAAAATAGCTTCAGAGAGGAAATGTTTATTTTGACTCTCAAGTTTAAATAATTCTTCATGGTCTCTTGGCCCAATGCACTTGGGAGGAACACCTGGAAACAGTAGCATATAGAAAGTATATATCTTTTTTTCTTGGTAAACAAACAAACAAACAAACAAAAACAAGATCAGGGTAGAGGGGCAGAGGGGAGGAAGAGACTCTGCATCTTTAAGAAACCAAACCCAGAAAACTCTTTCCTCCAGATTGGCCTGACTGTCCCAAGTTTCCTAAACAGAAACAAAGATGTTAGTACATAAGCTCCTGAAGGGAATACCTCATTTCTTAACCATATTTTTCCTGCTCTTCAAAAGTCTTTTACACTGTCCAAATGGAAATTATATTCTGCTCATCTTCAAGAGCTGACCAGATGGCTGGGTGAATAAAGGCACTTGATGTCAGACCAGATAACCTGAGTTAGATCCCTGGAATCCAGAGAGAATATGTACACACACACACACACACACACACACACACACACACACACACACATACACATTAATTAATCAGTTAATACAATCTTTAAAAATCCTAAGTTAAACATCTAACATCTTTTCTAAGACTTAAAGTAAACTTTTTTTTGGGGGGGAGGCTTTTTTATTGGATATTTTCTTTATTTAAATTTGAAATGTTATCTCCTTTCCAGGTCTTTCATCTGGATCCTTCTATCCCATTCCCACTCCCCTTGCTTCTATGAGGGTGTTCCCCCACCCACCCTCTCCCACCTCCCCACCCTTGAATTCCTCTACATTGGGGCATGAAGCCTTCACAAGACCAAGTGCCTCTCCTCCCATTGATGCCCAACAAGGCCATCCTCTGCTACACATGCAGCTAGAGCCATGGGTCCCTCCATGTATACTCCTTGGTTGGTGGTTTAGCTGTGAATTTCTGTCATTTTTTTTAAGTTACACGCATGAAGGCACATTGGCATGGAGTGAATAATTCACTCCAAAATAAAGAAATGAGGTGATAGCAAGGGTAGTCCTCAAGTAAAACCAAATCCCAGCAGAACAAGCATTAAATTCTATATTCTATTTCAAGCACCCAAGGCATGTGGTAACATAATATAATCTCCAAAGGCTTGAACAGTCCTTTGCCCCTGGCCTTATTAGAGAAACCCACTTAGACTGTTATAGTTTTTCTCACTTCATTTCTAGTTTTTTGGTGTGTGTGTGTGTGTGTGTGTGTGTGTTTGTAGATGTTAAATTGCTTTTTCAGCCCATTTGAAGTTATGGCCAGGCTAGTCTGGCCTTAACTTGTGATCCTCTTGCTTCTGGACTCTTCAACATATCCTCCTAGAATGTAGCATCACATCTAACTGTATACCATCACTCTGGTCTTGCTTTTTGTCTAGTTTTTCTGGACATACATTTAAATTTCCTGGGCTATCCAATATCTAGAGGTCCTCATAGGAGCTTAGATTTGACCTTGAATCATCTTGAGTTAGCTTCTGGTAGGTAATCTGACCTGTTACAAATTGACCGGACTCCCAGAACCTCTTTTGGACTCTTTGTAGAAGTCTCATTGCCCCATAGCTTTTCTTTTCTGGAGGCTTGCAAAATATTCATTATAAACTGGCTAAAAGCATCTGGGAAAAAACATGCCATTGTGTGAATGCTATGCTGTCTTGACAGTTCATTCACAAAATTTATTAGTTCATCATATTTAAATACTCTGACATATAATTTCTAGATATAGACAAACTGTAGGCTTTGTCATAACTAGCATCTATGGCATTAGGTACAATTCCCAGGGAGTTTCTAGTCTCATCCTAAACTTCATAAGCCTGTTCATAAAAGTCAATATCTCTATCAATATTTGGTCTTCTGAGCTCCCACTAGAATATCCATTAAATACTGCATTTTAGAACTGTTCTAGCCTGCATTTCCTATTTTTTCCAAATTCTACCCATAAATCAATTCCAAAGTTTCAAAAAAACCCAATGAGTCATTTTTCATTAATCACTTTATATTATTATAAGCAAATTACTAACAGAACAAGTTAAAGGAGGATTTATTTTATATCACAGTTTGATATTATGCACTTGAGTAAAATATAAATGTAAGAGAAATGTAGCAAAGAGCCTTCTTCATCTATGAGAAACAAGAAGCAGAAAATGAGAGAGGAAGAACTACTGACCTACCTCATCTTGGGTAGGTCTTGATTTCTAAAATTTCTAGAACCTCAATAAGAAGAACAAACTTTCAATAAATGAGCCTTGTCATGAAATACTACATTTCAAGCCATGATAACCCTGTTTTAGAATTGAATAAGATGTCACTGAATTAGGAAAGCAAAATCTAACACTCAGTCTTACATGTTTAGTACTCTACCACAGGACCCATGGAGAGGATTGCAAATATTTGATCCAATGTTCAATGATTATTAAACATAGTTGGTTCTCCACCTTTCCTTGCTAGCTTTCCACATGATTCCAAAATTCATTTGTATTAACTATGCTCACCTATTAATCACCAGAGAATTGTTTGATTGTGGTATTAGTTAGATACATTCTTCAAAGACTCATTTTTATAAGCAAAGAATAAGTATGTATCAATTTCTATATGATATAAACAGAATCCAAGTTAGTTATCTTGATTACTTTTATTGAGTGTGGCAGACACAGGTGCTCCTTTTAATTATATGATGGTTCTTGCAAACACAGGGTATGTTGACAAATTATAAAAAGAGCTATATGGCCTTAAAAGTTTGTGGCCAAAGAGTCTGTTGGCAAGCTCAGCCCAAGTTTGGTTTTTGTTGTTGTTGTTGGTGGTGGTGGTGGTGGTGGTGGTGGTGGTGGTGGTTGTATTTGTTTTGTTTTGTTTGTTTTATTCTCCCTTCCAATGTCTTTACTGCTTTATACTGAAGATAACTCAGGAGATAACCTCCAGCTTTCAAGTCTCTTCTGTGCCTTCATCAGGATGAATCACATTAATGAACAGTCTATTGGAAGAGTGTCTTCTAATTCCCTGACCACTCTGTTCAAGGCAATACTCTCCTCAGAATGCCAATACCATCAGGAAATGTTAATTTGAATAGATTAAGGTATTTTAGAGCCCCATTTATAACTATAGGGTATCTAAACTTTGGTGGACAGGAATGGGAGGAACACACACATTCAGAGCAGAACTTGGTAGACTAAAAAGTCTCAAGAGTATGGGGAGAACTAAGAGATGAGCTTGGCTGAAGTGAATACTGAATGAAATGGCAAGAGGAAGAAATGATGTGTTTGGTACTGCTAAGAAATCCAGTGTATTCTGGGATACATTTGGGGCCTGTAAGCATTCTCAAAGGAAAAGTAGATGACTAGGGTTGAGTAAATTTTTGTAAGAAAACAATTGTATCTAAGAGAAATCAAAAAATCTGATGTTCGAGAGCAGAGAGCTTGAAATTTTTAAAGATGATAACAACACTCCATCTATTCAGCTGAAGTGTTTTTCATTCTGATGCCCTATAAGCCAATCACAGAAAGAGGAGGAGAAGGTCTAATGGATGACACCACATACGAAACATAACATATCCAGGCAGCAGAAGGTTGTTAAAGCAACACAGATTTCATTGTACAGTATTAACTTAGAATTTTCTTGCTCTGGATAATTTTGAATAAAATATATCCTGAATGCATGGTGGGGTATAAAGCAGACAACTATGACCAACAGGAAGAAAAAACTCTTGATTTGAGCTCTGTACTCTTGATGAGCCCACATATCAGGCCAATAGGCTTTTATCAAACGAAGAATGACAGTCAGCTGGGTCAGAAAGAGGACCAGAACTGTTGTCATCATAATGACAATTATAGAGTAGTTTATGATGATGATGACCCTGCAGTTGAGAGATCTATGAAACTCAAAGCATCGTTGTTGCTCTGTATAACTCGGATCCGTGCCATACTGTAAAAAAAATATCGGTAAAAAGATGAAGCTTCCTGACATCCAAATAATAATACTCAGAGCCATGGCATGCAACTTTTGTAACTGTTGCATTTGGAGTTTCTTAAAATAGATGAGCAACCGAAGTGTAACAATGGCCACATAAAAAACAAAGGTAAGGTACATGTGAGCATATATGATACCACTAACCATTCGGCAGGTAAAAGACCCAAGCTTCCAGACTGCTGAGAGATAGTAGCTGAGGCGGAATGGTAGACTAATCAGGAGAAGGGAATGCAGCACAATGATATTAATGATGATCGTGGCAATCACTGATTGGCTTTTCCTCTTGAGCATCATGTGTGACATCATAAAAGTTCCAACAGTGCCTCCAAATAAGACCAAACTATAAACTGTTGTCAGCATTGCCCTGCAGTAGGCATCGCAGACTTGTCCCGCTGTAGGCATCACCACGCTTGAAACATTTGACAGAATGGCTACGTTCATCACATCCATGGTTTATCGTGAAGAAATTAGATCAGAAACTGTCAAATCAAAAGTTTTACAAAATTATGATTGACATACTGAAACATTGCAATCATGTACAAATATTGAACTTATCAGTCCTTGAGGATGCTTTAAAAACCTTGAAATCATACAAAAGTATTGTTGTAAATTCTGCCCAGTAATTCAAACATACTAGAGACAAGAGTGAGTGAAATTAAATAATGAAGTTGGGTGGGCTTGAATGCAAATTCCATAACTGTGCTCTTACATGTTCTATGAATAGATATGCTCATGTATACATATCAGAACAAGTGCAATATCAGGAGAGAGAAATGTGTAGATACAGTCACATGCAAAATAGCACCAAACTTCTTTAATCATTGAAATGAATAGTGTGTGTTGTACATGTTTGTTCACACTGTGTGTATGTACACTCATTCATGTGCCCACCTACGATCAGTTAGCAACAAGTTATCTTCCTCAGTGGCTCTCCATTTTAATTTTTGAGACAGAGTTTCTCATGACTCCTGGAACTTTTCAACACGGATAGCCTAACTGGCCATCTACACCCTGGGACCTGACTGTCTCCAGACCCTTCTCCCATCACCCAGTGTTGGGGCCATAGACAAATGCCTCCCTCCATGCTTAGCTTTTACTTGGATCTTGAGTACCCAGACTCACTTCCTTCTGTTTACACTGGGCCTCCAGCCAATAAATAGTGTTTAATGGCAATGTATACATGATACAGAAATTAATCAAATTGAAGTGAAGCTGGGATCAGTAGACCCAGTGCACATACAGATCAAATTTATAAATATGACCCCCTCAAGTTTCAGGCAAATGAATTTATAACAATGCAGAGAAAACCCAGACAGATCATGTCACTATCACAGGAAAGTATGTCATGTGACCTTGTGGGTATTTTCCCCCGGGAATAGTTTTTGAGCATCAAGTTCCCTAGCACTTGCCTATCCTGGGACCTCTTTCTGCTTAAACCTGGTTACCTGGCTACTTTCACACACTGGTGTGTTCAGTTTTGGCAAAATAGTGTTGGAGGATGGTTTGCTTGGTTGTTATTTAAGTTTTTCAAGTGTGAGTATGAGGGACAGATCAATCCATCAGCAGTAAGACTGAGGTGGCTTGGAGCCATCCAGTAAATCCAGGCAGTGCAGTTCTGTATTTTGAGGCTGAGGAGAGAAGTGAGCCACTGCAGTTTCAAGAACTTCTGCTGTGGAAGAAGGAAGGCTATGCTGGCTGCAGTTAATGGTTATTTAGACATTCAGTGAGCTAGTTGGCTTCAGATGACCTTATGATTTTTTTAAAAAATCATGATTTTTTTTTTTTTTTATTGGATGATTTATTTACATTTCCTATGTTGTCCCCTTACCCCATCCCCCACCACCCCCTCGGAACCTCCAATCCCCTCGCCCCTCCTCCTTCTTCTCTGTGGATGTAACCTCTATCTACACCCCCCCCACTCCCACCTCCCCACCCTCAAAATTCCCACCCCCTGGGGCATCCAGCCTTCATGAGGTCAAGGTTCTCTTCTTCCACCTATGCCCAGCAGGGCCCTCCACTTTTACATATTCAGCTGAAGCCCTGGATTCCCCCCTAAGTGCTCCCAGGCTGGTGGTTTAGACCCTGGGAGCTGTGGTTGGTTGGTATTGTTGCTCTCCTCATGGTGCCATAAACCCTTTCAGCTCCTTCAGTCTTCACTCTAACTCCTCCATTGAGAACCCCATGATCAGTTCAATGGCTAGTTGTGAGCATCTGCCTCTGAATATGTCTGACTCTTGAAGGCCTCTGAGGAGATATCCATATCAGGCTCTTATCAGCATGCACTTCCTGTCTTCCACATCAGCATCTACCTTTGGTGATTGCACATGGGATAGATACTCAGGTGGGGTGGTCTTGAGACGGCCCCTCCTTCAGTTTCTGTCCCTCACTTTGTCTCCATATTTGCTCCCTTGAGTATTTTGTTGCTCCTTCTAAGAAGGACCGAATCACCCTCACTTGGTCTTCCTTCTTTATGGGCTTCATGTGGCCTGTGAGTTGCATCTTGGGCATTTCAAGGTTCTAGGCTAATATCCAATAATCAGTGAGTGAATACCATGTGTCTTCTTTTGTGATTGGCTTACCTCACTCAGGATGATAATTTCTAGTTCCATCCATTTACCTAGGAACCTCTCGAATTCATTGTTTTTAATAGCTGAGTAATACTCCATTGTGTAAATATTAAACCATAAGAGGAAGTTTTAGCTCTTGGCCTTTTCTCTAAGTGTCATGATAGATAATTAGGATATTTAAAATTGTTACTACACAAATATTTATTTATAAATATCTATTTTAAACAATAGCAATTTCTCAAGACTTCTGTCTTAACATTATGAGACTCAGACATTGAAGCTCTAGAGTCTTGAGTGGCTCTGAAGCTTGTCCTCATGTGTCGCTTGCCAACCTGTCAAGAGGCACAGTAGAATTATTTGTGTCTCAGTGAGAAGTTATTTGCATGGCAAGTCTAAAGATTCTGAAGTTTTTCCTCAAACACAACATTTTTCTTGAAAAGAATAGCTGTTTTCTTTTAAAGAAATTCAGTTGACTAGAGCATAGTTATTGCCCTCAGTAAGAATTTATGTTAACTTAAAAACATTATAACTTTGATAACAATCTAAATGTTTGTAGTCAAAACAAGCATTTTAATAAAGTGCACGCATTCAAATATATAATATTTGCCTGCTTTTATGTGAAACTATATTTTATATGAAATTAATATCAACAAGTTTAACACAATTTAGAGTGTAAATTTTGGTCTTTTTCAAATCTAAGTATATGATTTAAGATTGAAACTAATTTAAAGTAGTTTTGAAATTTATATGAATTTTGAATTTAATTTGAAACTAACTAGGCCTACATTATGGTGCAGTTCCACAGCTTAACTGGGCACCTCCTGAGGCAGAGGAGAAAATTTGGAGAAAGACAAGGAGCTTTGCTGTTAAGCAGCTGCTTTAACAATGGGACAGGTACTTAAACTTCCCTCTAGTTATAAAAAAGTCAAATGATGCCTCCCTTCAAGAATTAACTTGGATTACATCTGCGTGGAAAATTGAAATCATGACATTTGCAGGAAAAGACTCAGAAAGACATGAACAGCAAGAAGAACCTAGACACAAAATAATCTGTGTGCATACATACACCTATGTGTTGGCATGTACATGTGTGTGTATGCTAAGTCCAGAAATTAGAAGAGAGCATGACAATAAAGAAAGAGATCTTAAAAGAAAGGAAAACATAGTATTACATTTTAAAAGGTGGACAATTTAAAGGAAGAGAGATAGACCAGACAGGGGTGAGCGGAGGAGATGGTTTAGCACAGCAAGGGAGGGGATGGATAAGAACCATATAATGGTGCACATGTATGAAAACTGTAACAAAACAGAACTTTGTGTGCTTACTTTAAAAAATAGTAAACTGATACATAAAAGAACTCAATGGGTGGTCTGACATCTCAGACAGACATACCCTGCCTTTGGTTATTTCTCAGGAACTTCCTACATCTTCTCCCATTGCTAACCTTATTCGTCAAAAACCTACAGTGAATTATAGGTATTTCTTTGCTCATTTAAACCAAGCATCCAAATTTCTAGAGACTCCACCGTCTAAACCCAAACACAGCCATCCAAAGTACCTGCCTGCTTCTTCCCAGTTATGATCGATCCTGGTGGAAAACTCAAGGCACCCGTGGTCTGTTGATCTACATCAAAGCAGGCAGTGAACGCAGTTGCTGGAACCAAGATTATCCTAGCCCAACAGTCAACACAGTCATCAGTGCGGTGATGAGTGCAGGGTCTAGCTCAAGCCTTGCCCTGAAGGATCAAGAAGCCCAACAGCCAAGATGCGAAGTCCTGATAAGTTAAGCCTCTGAGCTCAAACAGATGTTGTCTCAACAGTAGGGCAGATTCAAACAGAGATTTTGTTTTCACTCCCAACGACTTATTCACAAAGTTAAAATGAAAACCGCAGAGGGATTTTTCCAGCGCTGTTTCTCATCCTGCTTTTTGGGTACCACCCCAAATGCTCTGTACTCAGAATAAGAACTGTATGGGGAAATACTTTCTAGATAGCTTTCTCGCTGGTGGGGTCTCCTCGCGTTCCATTGTTCACCAGCTCCCTTCTCCCAGTCAGGTTGCTCTTTGGAAATGCGATTCTTTTGGAGTTCCACCTTTCTGCTGATGTCACTTCTACAGAGGGTTTGCTTCTCCTAAAGATCCCATCTTCTTTCACGAGATGTCTCTCCTTCTGTCCTAACCTTAGCTGTCTTAAGACATTGAAACATACTGTAAAAAAGTGTAAACTTAGTACTACAGAAAATAAAAGGGACCAAGACACCTTGGATGGTTGCAGACACACCTGCTGTGAATCATACCAAGGTTCAACTACAGAAACAAAAGCAATGGAAATGTTCTGTCTGGCAAGCTCGTTAAGTCCTACCTTTGAGCATCAGTGGAGACTATTTTCAAATTGCTTTCGAAAAAAAAATCTCTTGTACCCGTGCTATCTGCTACTCAATTGCCCAACAGTGCTTATCACTTTGGAGACGTAAAGGAACCGAATTTACTGGTAACAGACTCATCTGCTTAATTATTTGAATAAAACGTAAAAAAAAGACAAAACTTTGGCTCTCACTAAGAAAGTAAAAATTTTACCAGATCAACTCAGGTAGAAAAAGAAAAATAACTACACCCATAAACAATTTTCAACCAATTGTAAGCATCTCAATTTTTAAGTCAAATTAATTCATAAAATAAAAAATCTGGGTCACAGCTCAGGTTTGGATGTATTAATCTGATGATCTTTATCTTTTTCAAATAAAATGTATTCCTGGAATCTGTATGCTAATGTATGTTCCCATAGAAACGATGCTATGTTTAGAGGTTGCTTGTATGGGGAAGAAAAACTGCGAAATAGGTTAGTTACAACCAACAGCAGAGAATAAAAATAAAACTGTGAAG